TTTTTTTTTTACTATTGGAACTAGTAAATCTTATTTCATTACTGGGATATCCTGAAAAAATATCTTTGGACCTCCTAATATTAATAGGGTTTTTATTTATATTTTGAAGATATCATGGATAAGATTTTTGGGCTACTGCTTTTTGCCTTGGACTATAAAATTTACAAGAACTGTAGAGAATATATCCAGAATTGTTCTACTGTAATAACGTTTTTTTCTAAAGTGATCAGGTTTTACAGAGAGGAAAATCTTAAAATCCTTAAGAATCAGGAGTACTTTGGTTGGTGTTTATTAGACCTTCCAGAGTTGATTCAGCAATTATTTTTCTATTTTAGACAATACACCATTTGAAAAATTTAAGGAAGGGACAAAGAAGGTCTTCTGTTCTTGTAACTCACACTGAATTAACGCCTGACCAGATGGCAACACATGAAGTTCAAAGACACATTTCCCACCATGCAAATGCACTGTGTCATTTTCACATTGCAGCAAGCATCAACCCTGCCACAGGTAAAGGATAGCAAAGTTTTATTTCTTATAAATATGTTGAAATCAGGTAAGTAAATAGAAAAGTGGGGCTACTTTATAAACTGTTTATGTTATTATCCCATGTTGACTTTTAAAATACATCTGAATTGGAATAGGAATATAAGGTACCATTTCTTAAACTGGGACTATGGGATTGTCAGAGGATAACTTCAATAAGTATTATGTCTAGAATATAAGAAGTGTTCCCAGTAAATTGGAGTTTTAGTTGAACTTGGTATCACAAATGGTGGCAGCCTGGTTAATTAGCATTAATTTCCCTCCCTTAATATTTTAACTCTTTACTCTTTCTCCTCGACTCTTTATAACTTTATCTAAATACATTTTTACAAATTTTTCTTTATATCTCAGCATCTTGTTTTCTACCCCTGTAGACTTTCTTGTCTTATACAAGGGAAAGATATTTTTTCTAACCTTGATATTTTCTTTTCCCCTTTCCCCCATGTGGCTGAGAAGTATTTTGAGGCAGTTTCTATGCTGGCAAAAGCATATTTGAGAGTTTCTATTTCAGGGCATTTTGTTTTCTTTCAGTGTGAAAACATAGGAGAAAGGCTATGAATTTCATATTACATTGCTTGTAAAAACTGTATTTATATAGAGTTATAGTTGTATGTTATTGAAATCGAAATCTATTGCTTCAGATTGAAGAGGGTCTTATTTTTAAATGTTTGCTGATTTAAAGATGGTATTCAGTAAGTAGAATTCCAAAAGGATGATCTTCAGCAGTGGCTCTAGATACATGCTGTCCTATACAGTAGTCACTAGCCC